GAGGCCTCGAACGAAGGAGTGCGCGGGCCGAACTTGGCCTTGACGTTCATGTGGGCCAGGGCGTGAGGGTTGGTGACCTTGGTGCTCTTCTTGTCGATGTTCTTCTGGGGCTTGACCGACTCGACGCCATAGACCACCAGCGCCAGCAGCAGCAGCACCGTCAACGTGTGTCGTCCGCCACAGAGTCGAGGCGAGGGCATCTCCTTAGGAATTGTGATGGTGGTGCTTCTTGTTGAAAGTCTGGAGCTTGACCCTTGCTGGTGGTCTGACTGTGTGCAAGAAGAAGTGCGCGATGATGACCTTTTTTTTTGTAAGTGGAGCGGCAGCATGAGGGTGACCGCTGTCGCGACAACTTCGATAAGGGAAAGGGTGCCGCGGCAGGCTTTCATGGGGATTGGCACAGCAGATCGGGGAGGCAGGTTTTGGTTCATTGGCTTCAAGAAAACCAGAGAGAACTACTCCTGAAGCAGCGTTACCAAGGGTCTGCAATAGGACTATGGGTCCTTCGTAGCCCAAGAGACATGAATACTGTGTTCGGTCATGCTTTTTTGAAAAGAACGAAGAACGAAGAACGAAGAACGAAGAAGAAGGTCAAGAAATATTGTGGAATCGTTTCTTTCTCACGTTGTGATGTTCTGCACTTCTAATGTTACACGCCAGCTATTAGGTGGACACAAACACCAAGTTCTTACGTTGTGGTGCGAGCAATGGACAGCTCCACGGCCTGGCGGTACTCGTCGAGCAGGAATGGTAGGCCTCGCCGGCTGCGCTGTCTGACGCCCTTGCCGTTGGCGTGGTGCCGCCTGCTGGCCGTGCCTTTGTCCCTGGCGTGATGCCGCTTGAAGTTGGCCACCAGTCGCTGGTGCGCCCTCGACGGGCTCAGCTGCTCAAGCTGCGAATAGTGCCGCTTGCGCACTGAAGTGGTGCTCACCACCTTCATCACTCCCAGGTCGACCGTCCACACCTCGCTACCACCTCCGCCGCTGGTCGCGACCAGCTCGGCGCCAAAGACCCGGCCCGCGAACGTGTCGTTGGGGCAGTCGAACGCCACCTTGTACTGGTGCGCCCCCTCGGCATCATCATCGTCTTCTTCATCATCGGCGTCATTGCCTTCGTTGGTGGTGTGGACAGTGGTCCAGGAGAGGTCGGTGTTGGCCCGGAGCGTGTGGGCCAGCTGCCGTGCGCCGGCCGGCCCGGAGGTGTAGAGCCGGAGCGCGAAGCCGGCGAGGGAGTGGACCCGGCGGCAGAAGAGGACGACCCAGATGGTGCGCCCCTTCTCCGGCATGTGGGTGAAGTAGTACACCCGGTACGTCGCGCTGGTCTCGGCCGCGGCGAGTTGATGCTGCTGACGGTGGGGCTCGGGTGAAGAGGGAGGAGAAGACATGGGCGACGATGAAGAAGAAGAAGAAGAAGAGGAAGGTGCCAAGGTTGCGTCGACGCAGCGCGGTGGAGGGAGGGGAAGATGTGGGTGGAAGGACTGGGCGTCGCAGGTGGAAGACGACCGCGAGAAGGAGGAGGAGGAACTAGATGGGCAGAGCTCGGTCGGGGCGAGGCAGGTATCGAGGGGTCGGCCGCGCTGGAGCTGGGCCAGTTCGAACTCAAGGTCGATGTCATCCTCCGGCGCCGCATGCAGCGAGAAGTCCATCATCATCACTCACTCTATTCGCTTGCTTGCTCGCCTCAGCTCCTGCTGATTGTTTGAGTGCCGGCCTGGGTTTGTTCTTGTCTTCCAATGTGCCGGCCCGAAACGAGGTTGCGTTCTTTGTGTTTGGTCGGGCCGTGCAAGGGAAGAGTCGCCGAAAGGAGATGAGCGCTGCATGGATATGGGCAACAAAAAGGGTTTGGGCAATTAAATCAGCAAGGAATGTGTAGAATGAAGTCGACATGTTGGCTCTCCACTTTTATCTCCGAGCATGTTTGGGAGTGTGGGAATTTCCTCCCTACTGCTTGTGCCTTTCCTCCGCTCCAGCGTGAAGATGCCGCACGCAAGGCCACCAGACCACCGGCCCCCCGTAAGACATACGAACCAAAGTCCGCCAAGTGAGCTCACATAAATACGCGACTCACTGCAAGAGGCCACCTAAACACCCTTTTTTTTTTATGCCAAGCAATTCCCTTCCACGCGAAGTGTGGGACCTCATCTTTCAATACCTCAACTACCGTGTGCGGCCAACCACTCCCGTTTACAATACAACTTCTTTTAGTTATTTAGTTCTTTATTACTCACTGTTGTTTTATTTGTTTCATTTATTGGATAGGCCCACCTGGCCAGCGTGTGCCTTGTGTGCAGAGACTTTGACTCCATTATCCACTCCAACCAACAACTAGCAAGAGTACCCCTTTCTCTTCCCACCTCCTTGGCGTGCGTGTTGTGGTTGTGTGCGTGCGTGTGCGGTGTGCACGTGTTCGACAGAACTGAGAGGCTCCGTCCTGACTCACCACCACTTCTACAGAAACTCATGAAGGCCATTCGATTCGCGAACGAACATGGCTCCGGGGTGGACGTGGTCGACGACGGCTCTGCCGCCGTGTGCAAGACCACCCGCACGGGCTACCCGCACATCTTCTCGCACACCGCGTGGGTCACCTACGAGGCCGACACCGCCACCGCCACCCCGCACTCCAGCCTCGCCAGCCGCAACAGTCGATCCAAAGAGCAGCTTTACCTCGCCCACTTCTCCATCGACGAAGAGCCCAGTACGCATGCACTTACGTTTCTCGTGTGTTGTGTCGTGTCGTGTGTCGTGTATTGCGTCGTGTGTTGCGTCGTGTGCCGTGTGTGCCGTGCGTCTGATGGTGATCGCGGTCAGGCATCTACTTTTCGATATCACTGAGCATGGTGCGGACGGCGGTGGCGCGGGTCGACTGTCCGCTGCATTTCATGATCAGCTACTTCGGGGACGGTGACCTCCACGCTTACGGATCCCGCGCCAATTATCGGTGCGTTGGCCCACATCACACGCACTCGCCATCGCACACGCACGACCGCACACGCACTCACACCACGTCTGTCTGGTCGGCAGGGAGTCGAATCGTGACGAAGCGCGGTTCAAGAAGGGCGACATCATCAGCGTGCAGCTCGGCATGTACGATGCCTACAAGGCCCACCAGAGCTACAAGTTCACCCCCAAACCCCAGGAATGGCGGAGGTACCACCCTCACACTTCTTCTCATCATCAGCCTCTCGTCCACCCAATGCAATGCAATGTTTGCTTGCTGACACTCCAGGCCTGCACATCCGGGCGCGCAGGGTGGTCGAGGCGAAGAACACGCGATCGCGCATCTACGACGAGTCCGTGACCAACCGGGACCGCTTCCCTTCCTATCCCTACGTCATCTTCTTCAAGAACTTCAAGATGGTCCACGACCCCATCGTGCGTGCCTCCACCTTCTGTGTGTCGTGTCGTGTCGTGTCGTGTCGTGTCGTGTCGTGTCGTGTCGTGTCGTGTCGTGTCGTGTGTTGCATTCCACACACATTCATGAGGGGCGGTGGGTGCAGGTGTTTCCCGACGTGGAGCAGTGGCCGGTGTACGTGGGCGCGTTCCTCACGAAGCAGGGCGAGAAGGTGACCCTGATGACCCCGTCGCCCCCGGCCCAGAGGTTCGCGCCGGTCTTCCCCTATCCGCCGGACAGGAGGAGCCGCGAGGAGGACGAGCGGGAGCTGAGGGAGCGCGAGGCCCGCGAGAGGCGCGAGCTCGAGCGATGGGAGGAGAGCCGGCTCCTTCTCCTTCTCCTGCTTCTTCTTCCTCTCGCTCTCCTTGCGTCGATCGCCTTCGTCCGAGTGGCTGCGCGTGCGGTTCATCCATCGCGAAGGAAATCATAACGAGACAGGGGACGGAGAAGGAGGATAAGTCACACCATCATCCTCACCTCTCCCTACGCTTCTGGCGTAAGAGAGCTGGCCTTGGCGACACAGCGTGAACCGAGACAGCCAAGTAAAGGCTTTATTTTATTTTATTTCGATTTGATTCAAAATTGAAATTGTGAATAGAAAAACAATGGAGCGGGAGGATGAAGATGGGGGCGGGCACGATCTCAGACCGTGTCTCGTTGAGCTCGTCGCTCGGCCTCCCTTCTCGGCCCCTTTCGTCCCTGCACCGTCGTGGTTGAGGCGAGATGCATCCTCATCGTCCCCCATGCCGCTTCCGCGCTGGCGGAAGCACTGCAGCGACCTGTTGATCGGCAGAATGGGCCTCGAATGCATCCTCACCTCTTCTTCCTCCACCACACCCGCTCCTCCTTCTGCTCCCCCGCCTCCAACTGCCATGGGCGAGGGCTGCCATTTCTGCGTTCGATTCAGCCCCGACGGCGCCCGCGTAGCCACGGCCGCCGCCGAATGCATCGAAATCTGGCAGACCGGCAGTCGTGGGCCGCCGCGGCTGCAGCACCGCCTCGACCAGGGCCACTCGGAGATCGTGACCCACCTCGTGTGGAGCCACCACAGCCGCGGCAGCGGAGAAGGCAGCGCCGAGCAAGTAGTGGGCGACTTCTTCAGCTGTTCGCTGGACAAGACGATCAAGCTGTGGCGCGACTGCCGCGTCGTCCACTCCTTTGACGATCACAAGGGTGCGTTTCACGCACCGCACACGCACCACCGCACACGCACCATCGCACACGCGTGCGCTAATGGAGAACAGACTGGCTACGCAGCTTGACGCTCACGGCGGACGACGCGACGCTGCTCTCTGGCTGTGTATCGTCGACCATCTGCGGGTGGGACGTGGCCACCGGTCGGGTCCTCTTCACGCTCCCCGACGCCCACTCCTCCGACGTACGCCACACCTCACGTGGCCGCGCATGTTCTTCTCTTGCATAACGTGGCGCGTTGTGTGTGTGTGTGTGTGTGTGTGTCGTGCGCTGTGTGTGTCGTGTTATCAGGTCTACACGGAGCTCAACACAATCAACAGCCTCCAGTTCATGAACGCCGACGTCAACCTCTTCTTCTCGGGCGCTCGTGACGGCTTCATCAAGATGTGGGACAGGAGAGACATGCGGCGCCGTACCAGGTCGGTGGCCGACATCCGCGCACACGCGGCCAAGATAAACACGCTCAGCGTCGCGCTCGACGATCGCCAGCTGCTGTCGTCGGCCCGAGACTCGGCACTGGCCCTGTGGGTAACTCACCACCGCCCTCCAACTCGCCCCTTAAGCACTCACCGTGTGTTGTGTATTGTGTGTTGTGTGTTGTGTGTTGTTTTGTGTGTGTGTAGGACATCCGCCTGTTCACGAACCGACTCAAGGGCGGTCACGCGCACGAAGCCAGAGAAGGGTACAGGTCCCCTCTCACTGCTCAGTCCGCCTGCGGCCACGCCGCGTCCTCACACCGTCGGCCCCCGTGGCGCAGGGGGAAGGGTCCCGTGCGGCGGTACGCGCAGCACAAATGCAACGGCTACAACATCTCTTCCACGTTCCTCAACCACGACCGACACATCGCCACCGGTACCAGCCCTACTGTGTGTTTGCGGTGGTGCGTGTGTGAGTGTGTGCGTGCGTGTCGTGCGGTGGTGCGTGTGTGCGTATTGTGCGGTGGCGCGTATGCTGCACAGGAACAACACCACGGCTCAGCTGTGCGCGCATGCGCCTCAGGTTCGGAGGACAACTGTATATACATCTACGAACGCGAGTCGGGGCAGGTGGTCACGCAGCTGGAGGGCCACTCGTCGGTGGTGCACCTGGTCGACGCCGTCGACAGCGAGCCGCTCAAGCTGGTCTCCTCCTCGATCGAGAACGTACGTGTGTGGTCGGCGCCCGCCGAGGCGGAGGCTCGTCTCTTCTTCTTCTTCTTTCAGCGCTGACCACCGTCCGTGCGCTGTCGATGTAGTCAGGGCTCTATCTGTGGTCCCCACAACGTAAGAAGAAACCGCGCGCGAAGGCCGCCAAGACCGCCGAGGTGCGCTGGCTCGAATCCTTCTGAGGTGTGGTCGGTCGCGACTAGATTGGGCTCACTGCTGCGTGTGTGCGTGTGTGTGGTCGCATGACTACCAGGAGGCGCGCGACCTGGGCGAGGCGAACTTCCTGCGCAATCACCGAACAGCCGTCGAGTCCCTCATGCAGAAGTACGGCGAGCAGATGCTCAAGGTGCGATTCTCTCCCCCCCAGCTGCCCGCGTCAGTCGCGACTGACTGCTGCTCTCTTTTATTAATTTTTGGGGGCTTCGAACGGCACGACAGGTCTTCCACGACCACAACTTCACGTTTTCAAGCAACATGGGCTGGGGCACGCTCATCGCGCAGGTGGGCCAGGACAACCCGTCGGCGGACCTGCTCAACATGGTACTGGCCCACCACCTCTGTCCACTCCTTGCGCCTTTCCTTTGACATCGCACACGCACCACCGCACACGCACACGACCAACGATACAAGGTCAACGATATGGCGACGGATTTTGCACGGATGTTGGATCTCTACCGGTTCGTAAGCGAGCCGGGCGACGAAGGTGACGACAACGCCTTTGCGCCGGCTTTGCCGCTGGAGGTAACTTCTGCGCTCGGCGCCGGGCGACAGCCGCGAACGCCGCCGCCCTGGCGCCGCGGCGGCGGTCAGACCGGCGATGAGGAGGACGAGGCCGAGCGCATGGCGGAGCACGACCGACCACTCCCACCCGATGAGCTACCGCGCAGCATGCTCGACCAGGACGACGACGACAGCGATGGCGATGGCGGTGGCGATGAAGGCGAGGGTCACGACTCGCGCGACGGCAATGACGAAAACGAAAACGAAAACGAAAACGATGAAGAGGAGGAGCCGGTGGTCATGAGGGACGAGCCCACTGCGGACGAGCGGGCGCAGGAACGGGCGCTTCGGAACACGCTGCGACGGCTCCTCAGAGCGGGCGGCGGACCCAGCACCTGGGAGCACGTACACCGGGTACTCACCGCAGTGTAGGCCACGACACGACACACACCACCGCACACGACACACACGATACACGACACACAGTGACACGCGCACCTCACCGCCGGTTGTTGGGCAGGCTCTGCAACAGAGGCAGGCCGCGCGGGAGCAGAGGTACGAGGAGCGGTTACGGCAGCGCCGGGAGCAGCTGGGCCAGCGACAACAGGGCCGGGAGGAGAGCGCAGCCAGTGCCCCTCGCGAAGAAGAAGACGACGAAGACGACGACGAGAACAGGGGTTCGATCGTAGAAGGTGACGAAGCGTCTTGTCCCTGAGCGGAGCTCCACTTGGCCTGTTTTTGACAGCGTGTGCCAGTGGCGATGTCAGAGAGTTCCAGGCGAAAACTCAACAGCAGCTCATGGCTTGTCGACACGGTGCAGGCACAAAAAAATGCAGGACAATGCACACAACCAGAACGAACAAACAAACCAACAAACATCTGCAGAGTAGACACCACAACAGCCAGTAGTAGCTAGAAGAAGATGGCGACCGACAAGAAGGCGATGGCGTTCGACGTGGACATTGGCACCGGCCACCAGAGGGGAAACCCGCAGGACGAAAAGATTCGGCATCACCTGGAACAGGAAGCTAGAGAGGTTCGCCTTTTCTTCTACTCTGCTCTCAGGTGTGTGTCCTTCTGCAGTGTGTTTGGTAGGTTCACCTTCATCGCGATGTGTGTAGCATTCGGGGCGGCTGCATGATCCCCAGCAGAGCCTGGAGGAGGCCGAGAAGAGGCGAGAGAAGATGCTGGAGGACCGCAAGGAGAAGGTATGGCCCTTGGCCTGACTGCTCACCTCAATGAAGAAGAAGAAGCCGTGAAATGACCAGGTTCTGCTTTCCCTTGCCTCCAGGCCCACAAGGAAGTGCAGCACGCGAAGGAGGTGGCTGCCAAGGTGAAGAAGGAGAAGAGCTATGTCGA